TCTCTCTCTCTCTCTCTCTCTCTCTCTCTCTCTCTCTCTCTCTCTCTTTCAATTCAATGAATTGTGGAACCATTCATTTCTTAGGGATTCAAGTAAGAAAAATAAATAATAATTAAATGGACATTGGGCATTTGTTTCTGCAAATTAATGTGAGCTAGAATCTTTTTAAAGACAACCCATTTTCCCAGAAGGACTAATCTTTCTGAGGAACAGACCCAGGTCCAATTTCTCATTCAAGTCTGAACTTACATTGAATAGGTCCTTATTAAAAGTGGACTGCTGAGCTGTGTGCCTTTTGAAATCAGTCTCCACTGAATCTACATATTCTCATTTAATGAGGTGGTTTCTTGTTATTGCAAATAAAGTCACTAGTACAGTACATTTCTGAGAGTTCATGTGTAGAATTTGTGCTGTGTGTAGTTACCTATCAAGTAATCTGAATAGATGTTTTTTTGTTAAGGTAAACTTTTAGCTAATGTGTTACTATAGAAGCTTTATTCCAAAGGGTTACTTCTGGTCATTAGAAATTTGAGGGGTTTTTATGTTTTATAAGATTATTGATAAATTATTCATTCTACCTTTTATATCCCTAATTATGAGATGTCAGTAAATTATATCATTTGTTTAATATGGTGATAGGTAGAGACATAATTTTTTATATAATATGAATATGTAATAGATTTCCTCAAAATGACTCTTGTGCTCTCACTTGCATGTGTCTTGTTTTATGTGATTATGTCTTCTTCATCTTTCTGTAATTGAATATGGAGGATTACCTTAGGAAAAAGAAGCATAGGAAGAAGAAGAAGGAGAAGGAGAAGGAGAGGGAGAAGGAGAAGGAGAAGGAGAAGGAGGAGGAGGAGGAGGAGGAGGAGGAGGAGGAGAACAAGAAAGAGAAGAAGGAGAAGGAGAAGCAGCAGCAGCAATGCATTTCTTTTTGAAAACAGAACAAAGACTCAAATGTTAGTTGAGATATCATGTTATAGATATCATGTTACAGAAATGCAGAATCAAAGTAAAGGGTCCTGGCTGGGACTCAGAATTAATCCTTGGAGGAAACTTATGCTGATTGTTTTACCAGCAATTTGAACCCATGGGCCATGTCTCATTATATTAAACTAAAACCAACCAAGCTCACTAATAAAGAAGACACCTATGAGAGAAGTCTGATGTCAAGTTTAAAGCAGTACAAGCTACATTACCTCAGGATTACTGCTTCTACTTTTACCAATAACCAGAGGAATTTGGAAACAATTTCCTTAGGAGACATTTTTAATGTGCTGTACAAAGACAAATAATTCTTTAGTATTCAAGAACACAAATTTGGTGCATGTCAAAATCATGAGGTGTTTTAGTTATTTGTCTCTCATTGGTGAGACAAAATACTCAATGCCCAAAGCCAAAGGAGGGAAGGTTTATTTAGGTCACAGTTTGAAGCTCCAAGGCAGGGTGACATTGCAGAGGAGCAACCATTCATGGTGGAGGAAGACATCAAAAGCAGTAAGAGCAAAAGGTGGGAGCGAGCCTCATTTCATCCCTTACAATCCCAGCACTAGACAATGAACTAATCACAACTCTAGGTTCACCTGCCTCTGAAAAGGCTGAACCCTATGACTGCATGAGTGAGGGTGCACCTAGACACATGACATAGAGAATGATAATATTCTTTCAATTTCATAAAATAGCTTCTAGTATTTTGAAAATAGAAATAGTTTTTCTGCCTTGTATGTCACAGTGAGAAAATAAAAAATGGTATTGAAACTACATACTGTTATCCCTAGTTTCTACTGAGAAAATGAGAATTGACATGACTCTTCACTTTTATCCTGAGTATGTTGATCTGCTATCTGATATGTCAGTGTATAAACAGACAAGGTTTATTTCACCTTAAGTCTCTTTCAAATTCATTATCAGTTGGTCCTATTTCTTTGATCCTGCAGAGAAGCAGCACATTGTGGTGGGGGCATGTGACAGAGCACACAACTCAACTCATGGCCAGGAAGCAAAAGAAAGGAAGAGAGGCCAGCTTCTTACTGTTCCCTTCAATTGCACCACCCCAGGGACTTACAGATGGTCTACAGCCCCTACAGTCCCACCTCACAAAGACTCCATCACTTCCCTGTAGTGTGAACCTGGGGCTCAATCCTTTAACATACTGGCCTTTGTGGGACATCTGAAATCCAAGCCATAGGACTGGGCATATTTGAAATGTATTGTTTATTTATTTATTCATTACACCAAGAATGTTTAAACTTTTTCTCAGTGGCAGGAATTATTGTAAGCAGTAGGGATACAGAGATGACCAAAATGGACAAGGCCTTCTTCCCAGGGAGCCTATAGTAAGGAAATATAGTCAACAAACATCTGAGTCAATGTGACCAGGAATTGGTCACTATGTGTTGATACTGAATAATTTCTCAAATTTCAAAAATATATTTTTTTAGAGGCACAAAGTGTTAAAAGTTATTGTTTGGTTGTTATGGATGTGATCTATTTAATTTGGTGTAATGAAAGTATCCTAATAATAACTAACTCAAATATCTTCAGCAATTTTTGGTTTTCACTGAGCAGTGGGCCTTGGCTTTGACATCATACATGCTTGTGTCCCATGTCCTCTCTGACAGCACTGTAAACTTCAGCAAGGCTTTTTCTTTCTTTTCTTTTCTTTTCTTTTCTTTTCTCTTTCTTCCTTTCTTTCTTTCTTTCTTTCTTTCTTTCTTTCTTCCTTTCTTTCTTTCTTTCTTTCTTTCTTTCTTTCTTTCTTTCTTTCTTTCTTTCTTTCTTTCTTTCTTCTTTTTTTTTTTTTGGCAGAACCAGGGATTGAACTCAGGGCCTTGCGCTTACCAGGCAAGTGCTTATTCTACTGAGCCATCTCCCTGACCCCTGGCTTTTGCTTTTCTTAACTTTAGTCTCAGTTTCCTGGGGTAGCAAATGATGTCAGTTTGTGTTTCAAATGGTATAAGTGTAAAACACATAGTACTTAGCAGATACAATATTCAAGAAATATTAGTTCTCTCTCCTGGTGAAAAAAATGGTAATGCTTATTCATTTATCATATCCAGAGGTATCTTATTTTGACCTATAGATATAAAGCATTTAGAAATATGGTATGGAATTTGAGTTATATTATTTTGGTGAGTGGTTTTATTAAAATACATTTAATTTCTAAAGAACATTGTTGGCTTTAGACACAAAAGCAGTTTAATCAGAACCCTGCTTTTTAAGACAAAGTATTTGCTAAATCATATTGAACCTTTCACTAGTGATTTATAACAGTCTTTATCTGTAGACATTTTTCTTCCAGTTTTTCAGATGTGGCGAATAGAACAGACAATAGGTTAAGGCTAAAACTGTGTTTATTTTAGGATGTTTCATCTCTGGGATCTGCTGTAAAGATTCCTTCTGCAGGTAGAAGTTTGATATTTTAAAAGCAAAGTAATTTAATTTCTTGGCATTCTACATCCTACATCATTTATCAAAATAAATTCTAGGAACTGGGGCCTGACTGGCCTTTGGAGAGCAAAAGAATGTGTGCATATGATAAGGGGTGTGAGAGAGGGTGAAGATTGCAGCTTTGGGAGCTGGCTTCTTCGAGGTTTCTCTGCTCTCAACCTGCTGTCTTTGTTAGAAACTGAAGCCTTGACCTCTTCAGCCCTAAACATCTGGTTGCATCCCCAACTGCTGATCCAAAGTTAGAGTAAAATACAGAGACAGTATCTGGGTTTTTTAGATTTAATTACATTTGGTATAGCAGTAATGATAAGGGTAAGAGTGATTATATTAGCTATAAATATGCAGTTAATGGTTATTTAAATTATACCAGCAAACATATAAATAACAATTGTATTGAATGCAATAATTTCTATAACAAACATTGTTGATGATTACTGTTTGACATACTAAGAAATCCATGCACATTCTTTCTATAAAACATCAACAAAAATATTTGAGTTTAGGTGATATTATTTCCTTATTTCACAGAAAACTGAGACTCATAAAAAGTGAAGGAAATTTCTCCAAGTCACCTAACAGGTAAAATGCTGCTGGTGGGAACTGAAGCCAGTCAGTAAAGCACTGAGGTCCAATTTCTCTGTTACAAACAATGACAGATCTATATTCAGGTGTATGTTCTATTATTGATCCTGTGACTTGAACTATCACCACCATTATCAATTGTGATCATTGATTTTTTTTCAAAAGAAACACACAGAATGAGACTGGCACTTTCTACTCACACTGCTGCTGCCTTCTCAGGCAAGACTCTAGTTCAATTAGCAGAGAGAAAACATCAGTTGAGTGAAAAGGAAGAAGGATTTTTGATTTGGAGAGGAACCTCCTGTCATTGACCTTTGGAAGTTAAATTTGCTATGCCTAAATTTCTTGATGTTATTGCCTTTTTTTCAAATGAA